TCTATCTATCTATCTATCTATCTATCTATCTATCTATCTATCTATCTATCTATCTATCTATCTATCTATCTATCTATCTATCTATCTATCTATCTATCTATCTATCTATCTATCTATCTATATATATATATACATATAGCTATATAGACATAGAGATATATAGATATTGATATTATATTGTTACATGCATGTGTGTGCATGTTAACAATTTTTAACAATGGTGTACCACAAGGCTCAGCCTTAGGACCCACGCTCTTCACAATCTGCATAGGTAATGTAGATCAGATCATCCCTGACGCATCTTTACATTTCTATAGTGACGACACAGTTGTTTACTGTCGAGCTAAAACAGTTGCTAAGGTTTTCCAGCTTTTGCAGTCCACTTTCAACATCATCCAGTCAGATTTGTTCCATCGCAAACTTGTCCTAAACGCCGACAAAACCAAAGAGATGTTGTTTTTAAACAGGAACCCAATAATAATAATAACCCAAAATTTAGTAAGTTCATGTCAGACATTTTTGTAGTTTTTTGAAATTAGAAAAGTATTTTCAGTGGATGCAAAGTGATCCTTTAATCACAGTAGTAATCTAATGATTACCTTTTAATGCAAGCCTGAATCAGGATGTCTGGCCAAAACCAAAAGGATTATAACTGTCAGACAGATATTTAGCTAATGTTTGGTCTGGTAGTAGCCGAGAGTAATCCACAATGCATACAATGAGCAAGAACAGATCTTAGTTTAAAACTTTGGCACGTGGCAGACGATACTGTGTTTCTTCATGAAAAGCTAGTTTTTAATTTATCTGCAGTTTTTAGAATATTCCTTAAAAGGAATACACAAAGATCTGCTTAGTTTAAAAAAATAAATTAATTAATATAAAAATTATTGTTTGTCGAGTTTACTTGCCAGCCAACTTTTACTAACAGTTTTGGCGAAAGGAAAAGTCCTGAACAATATTGTATTTTTTGATCCTTCTGATTGGACATCTAAAATAACTTTAAGGTGATAACATTTTAATTCGCTCTTCACCCTGTGGGCATCCCTCGCACAAAAGCTACCTGCTTCCTGTCATCCAGAGGGTTTCAAACTCTCCAGCTCCTCCAGGGTGACAGGTGTCCAGATGGTGTGCCCGTAAATATTGAAAGAGCTGAAATTTTGGTCTGATGGAGGAAGACTGAGGGAATTACAGCTGGTCCTGAGAGAGGCATAACTGTCCGCACGGATATTTCAGAGCGGTGGATGGATTCAAACAGCATGCTGACGCTGCCGTGCACAGATCCTCACACAAAGCTAAAACTGTCACAAAGATGAAGCTCCGTCTGCAAAGACAGGAAGGTCTTCACAGGACAGAGACTCAACTTTAATGCTCTTTTAAAAGTTAGAAAATCTTTTGGCCTCCAGAACTCTGCCAGTTTCAAATATACTGACTGAAAATTAGAGCTGAGACTAAACCCCAGCACATATTTTGAAGG